GTGTTAGTTTTGTCATGGGCACACCTGGGTGTTCAGTTGGTGCAGATAGAAAGGAAAAATTGTCTGTGCTCCTATTAGAATAATAAAGAAAAACACAACAACCTGCTATACTTACAAGCAGTAGTAGAATTACTTACTAAAGATTGAAATTGAGATCAGAAATCACTTAGCACTGGTAGAGGTAATATCAAAGACTTTTTCTAAACTTGTATTTCAGAGAATGAGAGGGTGGTGAGGCACTGGAATAGGTTGCCCGAGGAAGTTGTGAATGCTCCAACCCTGGAGGTGTTCAAGGCCAGGTTGGACAGAGCCTTGGGCGACATAGTTTAGTGTGTGGTGTCCCTGCTCATGGCAGGGGGGTTGGAACTAGATGATCTTAAGGACCTTTCCAACCCTAACTATTCTGTGATTCTATGATGTGGCATTCGTTCTGCTTGTATTAACTATCCAGACCTAAACTCACAGAACTGAGAAGAAAACTTAAAAAGTGACAATGGTGTTTCTCAAACCAAGTTGTAGGAGGCTTCAAAAGCATCAGTACAGATCAGAGAAACAATACATTGCAATTAAAAAGGCAACTGAGTTATGCTGAGTATTTTATTAGTGCTATTATTAGCAGCAGCAGCAACTCGGTTCCTCCCAGGCAGGGGAATGAGATGTGGCTGTAATTACAGACACTCACACCTAGCCAGGTACTACCTGTGTGCATGTTTGCTGGCAGCAGATCAGTGCCACTGGGAGTGGAAGTGAGCATTTGCCTCAGCAGCCAGTAATTAAAGCTCCATCTCACTTTCAGGCCCTAAAGAAACTGTGCTCTTGCCAATGATTACAGATACTGGTTCTTTCTAATTTTCATGAGAAGTTACTGCGTGGAGTATTTGAGAAACTGTGGTTCAAGACATAGGAAATTTGATAACTGTGTTTTTTCTGTAGTTTTTGCTTCTATTTGTAGGCACATTTAATTTTTAATGCAAATTATCTTTTTCTCATTCAGAAGGTATATGTGATGTAGCCTTATTTTGGGGTTTTTACTTCCTGTTCCTGTATCAGAGCTTTATTTTCTTTTGCTGTCTCCTTAACTACACTCGTTGATAAATGGGCATTGTCATGGGCTAGAGCTGTTTGAGTCTGTAATTGTCATAAATAATAGAAAACCTTTATGCAGTGGACAAATGTGAGGAATCAGTGTGGGATAAGCAACATGGTAGAGAGTGGGGAAAGATGAAATAACTGCCTTCAGGTGGGCTTTATGTGTTGTGTGCCACAGGATAGGGATGTAGCACTACAGCTGTTAGAACCAGTGGATGAGAACCTTGGTCCTGCTGCTTTTGAGGAATAATCAGGAATATTTTTATTATCAAATACACTTTTAAACAGCTATAACGTCCCAGAAACTGAGAAACAGATGCATGTTTATGCCTATGCTGCCTTGCTTCAAGAGGCTTACTGTCAGTAAAGCTTCAACTTACTATTCTTCCTCTCCGGATGAGAATGTACAGGAAAAAGGACAGAAGCAAAGCACTTTTATTGAAGAACAGTGAGATCTTACTATGAACTTTATTAGCCTCCAGTAATTTTAACATGTGCATTGCTCAGCCATCTCAATTGTGAGAGGAGTGGTAGGCCAACTCTTGGAGAACACAGAATGAGAATGAAGAGCGGAAAAATAAGAACTGCATCATGTGAGAGCTACTCACGTTCTTAGAGTGGAACTTCTCTTTTGCCCTGTGTATTTTAAGATTGAAACTTAGAGAGGAAAAATGTTGACATAAGCAGATCAAGAAGCTGATGAATGTCTAGGAAAGGCTGTTACGAAGCAGAAGGTTGTGACTCAGAGAATCTTTGGTTCCTTGTGCTTGACCTCCTATTTATCAGTTTATGTCAAAACCATCTGAGACGTTAGAGCTGGGCCTTTTGTGTTTGTTAATGTTGGTAGCAGAAGGCACTTACTGAGGAGCATAAATTTTACCTGGAAGAAGAAGTAATTCCTGTTACATGTTCAAAACTTTTTAGGAGTACTGGAGAATTGATAACCTGGTGCCGTCAGGAAAGATCATGGTTCTTCCCAGTAGTGAAATTGTACATGCCTGAACTTTAACACAAAGCCTGTAGTCCCAATAGCAGAGAAAATGCCTTCAGACTTAGTGTTTTTATAATGATTTTGCTGAACTTCTGTTCGAGTGAATTCAGTGCCTGTTTTTACATTATTTCTAGAACTGACTGAACACAGGTTTTAAGTGAAGCATGTGCCTAAGCATTGGCTTGAATCCAGCCGAAAAGCCTGGCTCTAGTTTTATTACTTCTCATAGGCAAGCCTTGCCAGTCTAAAGCCTTTCTTGCAGTTTTCAGTGTTTTTAAGTATGTATGTTCTTGGATGTAGGCATGTTTGCTTTAATAGCTGATGGATGCGGGTTAGTCATGAGGGTAATTGCTCTTGCATTTGGGAAGAGAGTTACTACGCTACTGACTAATGATGACAATTGGTATTGTAGTGGCTTGTTAACAAGGTTTTTCTTAGGTGCCCTCATGGAGCGGTGCAGAAACTTGCATGACCTAGTGTAAGAAAAAACTTTCTTCTATTTACAGAAAGAAACACTGACACTTTTTCTCTCTTTCCACTTTGGTCAGGAGCTGAAAAACCTTGCAGCTAGAAAGCCCTGGAAGCTCAGCCTGCCAGTCACTGAAGGAGGAACACTAGATGCTGTTGTGGTGTGGTTTGTGCTACAGCTTGATGATGAGCATGCTCTATCTACAAGTCCCAGTGAGGAAACTTGCTGGGAGCAGGCAGTCTATCCTGTGCAGGGCCTCCCCGGTATGTCCTGTAGATTTTCTTCTGTTGGCACATTAACTTGGTTTCACTTTGGTTTTGAGATAGTTAGGTTATCTCAGAGGTGAGGTAGTGGCAGCAAATAGGTTTTGGAGAAGTTCAACAGCAAGTAGCTGTGAGGTGGTTCCTGATCATATTTCTGGGCTCTAGTGCACAGTCCTGGCATCAGGACTTGTTTGTGGGGCTCTGCTGTGTAGCAAATAAGGGACCTGGTTAAGATGTGGGAGAGTGCTTTTCATTAAGTTTTTATTTCTATACTGAATTAAATGCATTGTGGAGCAACTCCAAAAAGTGGGGCTGCTCACTGTCTCTGCTTGACAAGGTGGGAGTTGTGAAAGGGAGGTGAGGTAGGAATTGCTAACTGCTCCTGCCCTTCCAACCCAAACCATCCTGTGATACAGGAGGTATTAAAATGTAAATATTTAGTATTTTGCATTTTAAAGCAAAAGCAATTTTTTTTTACCAGTTCTTGTTCCACTCTGCTGTTGACAGAACATGTAAAGTAATACCTGGTTTTGTCATGGAAAGGCTTATTTTGAGAATAAATGGATTTTTGCCCAATGTGGGACAGTTTAAGGCAAATTTTGACACACAGCTGCAGATTTCGGCTTGTGGGCTACAGACTAGGAAAGTTCTGTCATACACACCAGTAACAACTAATGAATAAATGAGATAATACTCATTTGTTTGTGGGTAAGCACCGTTACGGCTGCTGCCCTGCTATTTGCTGTAGAGTAACTGACATGATTTCTTTGTGCTGTTTGGCCAAGATTATGCTGTGAAGACTGGAGATACAGTGCTGATGGAAGTGTGCTGCCAAGACTGCTACTTGAAGATCCAGAAGATTTCTTCTTTGCCTTCGGAGTGTGGGATGGACTTCAGTGACAGGGACGACACGCCGAGTCTGGGCAATGAGGCTGAGTTGTGTAATGCCCTGGCTGGTCTGCAGACAACCAGCAAACAGGATGGCAGTGCTCAGGTGTGTGTGCTGGAATCCACAGAAATAGCCCTGCTGATACCACAAGTGCTTTAAAGCTGCCATGGGCAAAGTGCTGTCGGCATTAAATCCAAGTAAGGACTCGCAGTCCATGGACGTTGATGGACATGGCAGTGGGATGAACCTCCAGGAGAGTCAAAACAAGAGCTTTCTAGATGCAGCTCCTGATCCTTTGTATGTTTTAGATGTATCTGAGGGCTTCTCCATCCTGCCAATTATTGCTGGCAAACTTGGACCAGTTAGAGCCTACAGTTCTGTTGAGAAAGAACAGCATCAGGCAGCACTTAATGTAATTTCAGAAGCTAACCATTTCCCTAAGGAAACATTAGAGTTTTGGCTCAGCCACTTGGAAGATGAAAGTGTGGTGCTTCAGAGACCCAAATCAGACAAATTGTGGAGTATCATTATCTTGGATGTTATAGAGACATCGGGTTTAATCCAGCAGGAGGTGATGGAAAAGGCTGCAATATCCAGGTACAGTATAAATGGACAATAGTGTTCCTAGGAATGTGAGAAAGCTATCTGAGAACTTCTGAAAATAGTAATTTTAACTGTAAAATTACTGTTGTTTTGGTTCTGTAGAGCAGCAAAAGCTTCTGTTCTGAAGGGATTGAACCTTCCTGGGTGTCTCTGGTGTGACTATTTCATACATTTATCTTCTACAAAAAGTGTTAAGATTCCACTTTTGTATTGCATAGGCAAGAATATGAATGGAAGAGCTTATTGCTTGGTCTGTCAGAAGTTAAGTTCCCAGGATAGCCAGCACCTTAGTAATAACATAGGTAGCTTTTAGTGCAAAGTTAGAAAAGCCCAGATTGATGTACATGTCACAGTGTTGTTGGATCAAACAATGTGCAAAAATACAAGCACATAGAGCAGGCAGGGAGGCAGGAGTAGAGTTGCTGGCTGTTAGCTGTGGCAGTGGGGGTGGGTAGGAATGCAGAGCAAGAGGAAGGGAAATAATGGAAATGGGTAGCAAAAAAAAGTAAATGTGAAACAGGTTTATCTCCTTTTGTGGTGCCAGGGAATCAACTCTGCTCATCTTCATGCTTGGTGATGGCAGAATATTCCAGATGATTAATGTTCATTACCTTTTCCAAGTTTTGAATGAATCTTTGGATGATTTGAAAGATTTTTTTTAATTTTTTTTTGCTGTAAGAACACATGGTAAATTACTCTGACTTTTGTAATACACAGCTCAAATCTGTTGGCATGAAAATATATTCAATAGTGCATTACTGAGCTACCTGACTCCTATGAAGAGAGGCCTGCTGTAGGAAAAGAAAACCTAAAACAATCTCTCTTGAACTGGAGGTATTTGATACTATGCTGAAGGAAAGCTTCTGCCATGTTGCTGCTCTCAGCAGTGTGATATTCTGCAGCAAGAGACCAAGCAATGGTCAGGGTTTTTTTGGGGGGAAAAAGTGCTGTCTCCTGTATTGTCCATTTTAGTTCAACACTTAAGGGTGACTTAAATTCCCACCAGGTTTTGTTTCCCTGTGGGTATACTATGCTGCCGCCTTAACCAGTGCCTCCCAACCTGATGTACTTCCCAACCTCCAGTTTTATTAGGCATCCAATTCTTCAGTATTAGATGCTGCTGCTATGAATAAATCCCACTATCTTTATACTGAAATATTATAGCATCACAGAATGGTTTGGGTTGGAAGGGACTTTAAAGATCTAGTTCCAACCACCTGCCATGGGCAGGGACACCTTCCACTCAACTAGGTCGCTCCAAGCCCCTGTGTCCAACCTGGCCTTGAACACTGCCAGGGATGGGGCAGCCACAGCTTCTCTGGGCAACCTGTGCCAGCGTCTCACCACCCTCACAGGGAAGACTTTCTTTCTAATATCTAATCTAAATATACCCTCTGTCAGCTTAAAGCCATTCCCCTGTGTCCTGTCACTACAGGGTCTTGTAAAAAGTCCCTCTCCAGCTTGCAGGCCCCCTTCAGGTTCTGGAATATCACCATTTCCAATATGGGCACTGAGAACAAATTGCTTAGTTCCATAGCTTTAGTATTGTGTGACAAGTTTTCCTTTTGTATGATAACAGCTGTCTGATCAAATGGGATCAAACTCAAATGCCTACGAGCACTTCAGAGGAAGAAGGAGTGTGCCTTCTTAAATGCAGTTAATGTTCTTTTAATTCCTGTTGATTGACATGCTTTAGAGGTGAAACCTCTCTCATTTTACAGGTGTTTGCTTCACAGTGGAGGGAAGATTTTCCCACAGTACGTGTTGGTATATGGGATGCTTGTAGAATCAGAGTCTCTGTTACTGGAGAGCGCTGTTCAAGGAACAGAACCAACTCTTGGGTTTAATATAGCCCCGTTTATCAACCAGTTCAAGGTACGGAGTTGGTGGGTGTCTTACAGACACAGTTCCAAAGCCTGCAGGTGTCCAGCTGTTTAGTTTGGGTGTCATCTGCAAGAGAACTGAAGAGCTGACACTTTTTCGTACCGTTGAAGTTATCAAGAGAGGTCTGTGTGACCAGATGGGGACCTTGAGATAAAGGAAAATGGGAAACATTTGTTTCAGAACTGGCGTGTCTGAGTGATGAAGGATGCAGAAGAGTGACTGTGCTGTTAACAGTCATCTCCTTCATCACCTTGTATCCCAACAGTCATGTTTCAAAAGGGATTAAAAGGGTGTGTTTTGCATTTGGGCTGTCTCTTCTGGGGATTATGGTAATTCCTAGAAACTGTTGCATTCTGATTAATTTTGCACATTTTAATGGCTGATGCCTGACTTTACGGTCTGTACTCTTAGGTGCCTGTTCGTGTGTATTTGGATCTCTCCACATTACCATGTGTACCCTTGAGCAAGCCAGCAGAGCTATTAAGGCTTGATCTCATGAACCCTCTGTTGAACAGCTCCAGCAGAGAGGTGAAGGTGAGTTGTTCGTAGTTTAGAAGTGTGTGTAATTGCTGCCCTGCAGAGCTGCTCATTCATTGCTCACCTTGGCTGAAAATGTCAATACAGAATTGACTTGGCTGCAAGTATCTCTCAAATGGACTGAACTGGTTTGAACTACTTTATTTTCTTCTTTGAAAAAGGGGTAACTTATTAAATGAATATTTTAAATATTTTCAGGTACAAATTTGTAAGTCTGGCCAAGTCACTGCAATTCCCTTCTGGTATCACATATATCTTGATGAAGATCATAGCTTGAATACATCTGATGAGTCTTCACACTGGAAACAAGCTGCAGTTGTTCTTGATGAGCCCATCCAAGTTCAGGTTGGAGATGAACTTATGCTGGATGTTCAACACCATAAAAGCAATATTTGCATTACAGTTAAAAGGTGAAGAATGTAAATCAACTTGTGGTTAATTACCTATGCAGAAATTGAGTGTTCCTAACATCACTGATGTTAATTTATATTAAATTTTGTTCTGATCAGAAAGGCTCTTGTTGCTTTCATAGTAGATACTTCACTACCATTGATTGATAGACTCCAGCTTGCACCATGAGAGTATCTTGCCATGCTTGCTATTGCAGTGACTACGACTTGCTCTCCCATGTCTGTAGTCAGAAAAAAAACCACCCAGGTGCCTGTACCAGAAGTAAACAGCTGTGACTGTTCAGGATGGAATCCTAGTTTCTCAAATTAGTTACATTTCTTGGTTACCAAAGCAACCTACTTAAAGTGTACTGAGATGTTACCAGCCTTGTAGTAGGGACTGTAATGCCATTCCACTTGCAAAATCTCAAGCATAGACAGTAGTAAAAAGTTGTAAAGGATTGCTGTTGAGTAACTCAAGTTGTACAGCAGAAGGTAAAGCTCATACGCTTTGATTCTCTGAATCTTTGCTGATAATAAAAGGGGTCTGGATATGAAAGTTGTATAAAATATTACATCAGTCACCACAGTACTCCTGCATCTCTTGTACAGCACTGCATTTTGGTATAATGTGGGTAATGAGTTCCTTTACTAAGTTTATATCCAAATGGAAGACTCACAAAAGCTGCTCCCTCAGCATTGTTTCTGCCTCTGTAGAGATATGAGGAAGACTCTAAGCTATTTTTATAGCCACAGTTTCCTTATACTGTGCTGCCTATTTAATGCACAGGAGCCTGCATGAAGTGCTATCCACAAAGCATTTTTCTAGCATCTCACTGCATGCAAGATTCATATGTACTTTTCACCAGGTCAAATCTTTCAGCTGAACTCCAGGGATGATTGGAGCGGTGTTGTCCTAGCCTGAACCTGCACCTGACACTGCTGTAATAAAGCTCCTGGAAGAAGGGTGGAGGAGAGGTCTCCAATTTATTTGGGTTTGGTTTGTTCTTTTTCTCCCCTCCCAGAGGTAATGACTTCAAGTCAAGTTTTCTGAAGATGAGAAACTGGATACCATTCTTTATCCAAAGGGTACAGTGCGTAACAAAATGTAAGTGAATTAGAGCAGGAGAGAGGATTTTCATACTACACAGAAAACAGCTTTTCCAAGAAAAACCTAATACACAACCCCACCCCAAGAAAAGAAAAAAACCCCAACCCACCAACAAACCAAAACACAGAACTAAACAATCACAAACACGATCCATAAAATGCAAGTTACTCTCTGACACAACTAAACTTAGTAGGTGCAGGATATTTTTAATGAAGTGCAATTTTGCTTAGAAGTCTTAGGCTTCTCATGCTGGAAGACATGACAAAAGCAAAACCATGGAATAGCAGTTTGGGTTTTCAGCAATTACTAAGACAGCAAAAAGACTTAAAGAAAAATTAAGGACATATTCTACCCTTAACTCAGTGGGATTAAGTAAAGGGCTGAAAGCGACCCTTACTGAGTTTTCAAGCAGTGTGATAATACGTAAGGCAAGTGCAACCTTTAAGACTTGCAGGAACAAATATAGTTAATGTAAAGATGAAGGATTATTTGCAAATTTACTTTATATACAAACTTGATAGGCCATGCTGTGGAATACTCTTGTAGTAGTTTTCAGAAGACAGGCTGTCACTGAAAGATTTCTATTTATTTTGGAAATTCAGTAGCAACCTTTAATGGAAAGGTGTGTTCCTGTAAGCCACTGCAATGAAAAATAACTTTCCTCTGGGACAGAAAAAAGCAGGAATAGTGTGCACATGGAATAACTGCTTTGTAGTGTTCCAGAAATGCTGTGACAGAAGTAACCAAGATGCTTAACTAGCTCTTTTCCCACCAAAGTCCCCTCTCTGCACCTTACCCAAGTTTTACACCAAACACACATAGCTTCAAGTATTAAACCAACTTCTTCAGTGTGAGATTACCGAAAAGCTACTTGGCTTCCAGCAGCTCTGATCCTTCAGATAGTTCTACTAATGCCCTGTGTACATGCAGAAAATCAGTTTTTTTCTATTAGTGACTAGAATGGAAGCCCACAGGCATTGTGAGCCTTTGCAGGCTGTTTCAGTTTAGAACATGGCTATTACGTGGATAAAAAGATACCTGGAGTCAAGCGTAGATCAGTAGATTCTGATTCTTCAGAAGCTCAGTGAATTCCCTTTTCAGTGCAATCCTTAAAGTACTGAAAGCACACTCTTGTGCTATTTACACTGCAGATCCCCCTCTTCCGTGAAGAGGGCAGCTGTATTCATGTGTCATTCCCACTCCTAAATTACTGCAACAGTAACTCAAAGGTGAAGAGTTTAAATAAAATCTTTAATTGCTTATTTACAACAAAGGCAATGACTTGGCAAATTGAAAATTATGATTTGCACTTTCCCACTAAGGTCAGATACAGCAAGTAAGTACACAGTCACCTATAAAATATGCAGCCTAGTGAGTAAGGCGCAATATTTACATCACACTAGTACTGCAAAACAAAAAAAACCAAAAAGCACTTAGATGAATTTACTGGGACAGCCAGAAGTTAAACATTTATCCTGTAAATGCTAACAATGCTGAAAAAGTAACTTCAGGTGTCATTTAAAAGGTCAGTGCTGTAGGGTTTTTTGTCAGATTGCAAACATGCTACAGTAGTAAAAATCTGATAATGGGATAAAAAACAATAGTCCTCTGATTCTGTCATTTTTGCAAAAGAACGATTTGATACTTCTTAGTCAGACATCTAATGCTGGTAACTCCAGTACTAGACTAGCTACTTAGTTTTACCTTAGCAAAGGTCTTTTCTGGGGGTTGGTGGGAAAAAAATCATCTATTACATTTGGCTCCAGGCTATACTAGAAGCATTATACAGTAATCACATATACACACAAATTTATGAATACAAATTACTACAGACACATCATCAAGATATCCTGCTTTAGCAGTTTAAAAAAAGAACAAACTTAAGTGTTAAATAATTTACTGCAGCCCAAAATGAAGAAAGCCGTTTTGGTTTATAATTCCTTTTTGACATCCTTTATTCTCCCCCCTCCCCCCAGTACATTTTAAGGTAGTAACCATTACTCTTGTTTTAGAAGGATAGGAAGAAAAGCCAAGTTTAAGGTACTAATCCAGAACCTATCATCCCAGCTGTCTCTGCTGAATGTAGAAGACAAATTATGAGCTACAAAGACAACAGATAACACCAACTGTACGTGCTGGGCATGGAATTTCATAGGCCTGAAGGGAATGCTTGCTTTGTACAGATTCTTTACTGATGCTCTGTAATAATTATCTTCATGAAGGGGTTTTATTTAGCTATGCAGGAAGGGGAAGGTGATGGCATCTGTACAGAAGTTTCCATTTCACCCACACTCCACTCAGCATGGGAGTATGGAGGTTACCGTTGTTAAGAGGACAACCAAAGCTAATACAAACACTTTTTGCTACTGCCCTCCTTCAAATTACATTCTTGAAATTAAGTTTTCCCATTGCTAGCAGCACTTAAACTTCATCTTTAGAAGAGCAGAGTATTTTTTCAAATATTTCTTCCGTATTAGGAAAAGTCACCATAATTTTGACACGTTGTGTAAGCGTTTAGCAGTTTAAGGAGTCGATTCTTAAATGTATGCAGAAACCCTTCCAGTGTGCGTGTTTTATATTCATGGGGTACTCACAGACACATCCATTACAGATTCTGAATTCAGCAGATTCAGCAGTTAGTTGTAGCCATATCCTCTTCCTGTCCGCACAGCAGCTTTTCCAAGCTTTTCAACTTCCATCACTAGGAGTACATGTTAACAAAACACATGTGGCAAGTATCTAATAGACTCCCTGACACATTCAAAGAAAAGGAGAGTCTAACTTTTAGCCAAAGCTTTCTCTGATAAATTGTGCTCTAGTTCAGGTGACTCCTCAGCATCTTGAACAGCATTAGTGTTATAAATACCATCAACTGCAGGGGCTGTTGTCGGTGTTGTGAGAGGTGTCACAGTGTGTCCAAACCCCTGGTAGTGGCCCATGGGGGAAGATGGCATTGAAGCAGCATCTGAAATTGGGTCTTGAGTAGATGACGACAGTAAACTCGTATGCTCATTTTGTTCATGATCCTCAGCAAAAAACATTTTCCTTGGCTGGCCCAAAACTGTCCTTCCTAGAATTATGCCAAATGAAAATACTTTTTAGTACTTCTAGCACTATACCAAGGTCTTTAAACACATCAGCCATAAAACAGGAATGTTAAATTAGAAGATGAGTCAGGTTTTTTAAGAGTTTTACATGGACATTGTTAGCTTTTTTAAGTGGCAGGTCATAGTAGTAGGGGACTCTACTTTGAAAGGCACAGAGGCACCCATCTGTCGGCCTGACCCAGTCTCAAGGGAGGTGTGTTGCCTGCCAGGGGCTCGGATCAGGGATGTTGCTGAGAGGCTGCCTGGTCTAGTAAGTCCTGCCGACTATTACCCCCTTCTAGTGGTCCATGTGGGTGCTAGTGATACAGATAGCAGTAACCTGGAGAACATGAAGAAGGACTACAGAGCCCTGGGAGAGGTGGTTAGGGGCTCTGGAGCTCAGATAGCTTTTTCATCGATTCTCCAGGATAAAGGAGAGGACCTTAAAGAAGCTAGGCACATTTGACAGGTTAATAAATGGTTAGAACAGTGGTGCCATAGTCAGGGGTTTGGGTATTTAGAACATGGGACTCGATTTGGGAGGCCAGATCTACTGGAGGCTGGTGGTCTAACAAGGGGAAGAGTTATTTTGGTAGGAGACTTGCCAGGCTGGTCAAGAAAGCTTTAAACTAGATGTGTTGGAGGAGGGGGGCATCGATCCATCCCAAAACTCCCACTCAGTTGCCAGGACCTATAGTAAGTACTTGGAGTGATGTAGAGATATTTCAGCTGCTCCAGCCATTGAGTCAGCTTCATATGGAGCTTGGCTCAGATGCCTCTATACAAACACCCATAGTATGGGGAACAAACAAGAGGAATTAAGAGATGTGTGCAAGGCTACAGGGATATGATGTCATTGGTGTCACAGAAACATGGTGGGATGGCTCCTGTGAGAAGGTTACCGGCTCTTTAGAAAAGACGGGT